AAAGCAAACAAAAACCCCAAAACCAAAACTCTACAACATATCACACTTTAAAATAGTTTTAATTTAAGGTATGTTCAAGTGTAAAATTTAAATTATAGAACAGGGATCATAAATTCTAATTATATAGTACCAGATAAGGGAAGAAAGTATTTATTAAGCCCTTACAGTGTACCAGGTGCTGTGGTAAGCACTCGAGATACAAATAAGATAAATAAAATAGTCCCTACCTAAAACAGCTTATTCTAATGGAGGAAGAGATTACATAAATGAAAGATGAAAAATGGAGGGGACAGAGTATGGAAGGGAAGGCATGGTCTCACACTGGTGGGAAGATATTTGATATAAATATTCTTTAAATTCTATTCTATAAATATTATAAATAGACCACAACAAACCATGGTTTCTATTAAGGCTTATAAAATATTTAGGAGTTTACCTCCTGAAACAAACCCAGGAACTATATGAACACAATTACAAAACACTTTTCACACAAATAAAGTCAGATCTAAATAACTGGAAAAACATCAATTGCTCATGGGTAGGCTGAGCTAATATAATAAAAATGACAATTCTACCTAAGCTAATTTATTTATTCAGTGCCGTAACAATCAAACTTAAAAAAATTACTTTATACAGTTAGACAAAATAACAAGATTCATTTGGAATAACAGGAGATAGAGAACATTACAAAAAGCAAAATGGATACCTGTGATTACATTAAACTGAAAAGTTTTTGCACAAACAAAGCCAATGCAACCAAGATTATAAGGAAGATTATAAGATGAAGAAATTAAAGCCATCTATAGTCATATGAAAAAATGCTCTAAATCACTATTGATTAGAGAAATGCAAATCAAAACAGCTCTGAGGTACCACATCACACCTATCAGATTGGCCAACATGACAAAACAGGAGAATGATAAATGTTGGAGATGTGGGAAAATTGGAACACTAAGGCATTGTTGGTGGAGTTGTGAAATGATCCAACCAATTTGGAGAGCAATTTGGAACTATGCCCAAATGGCTATAAAAATGTGCATACCCTTTGCTCCAGCAATAGCACTTCTATGGCTATATTGCAGAGAGAGCATACAAATGGGAAAAGGACCTACATGTACAAAAATATTTGTAGCAGCTCTTCTTGTAGTGTCAAAGAATTGAAAATTGAGAGGATGCCCATCAATTGGGGAATGGCTGAACAAATTGTGGCATATGAATGTAATGGAATACTATTGTGCTATAAGAAATGATGAACAGGCAGACTTCAGAAAAACCTGGACTTACTTGAACTGATGCTGAGCGAAGTGAGCAGAACCAGGAGAACATTGTACACAGTAACAGCCACGTTGTGTGATGACTAACTTTGATAGACTTAGCCCTTCTCAGCAGTGCAAGGATCTAAGACATCTCCGAAGGTCTTATGATGGAAAATGCTATCCACATCCAAAGAACTATGGAGTCTGAATGCAGATAGAAGCATACTATTTGCTATTTTTTTTCTTCTGTTGTGTTTTGTTTCCTCTTTCTGGTGGTTCTTCCCATTGGTTCTAATTCTTACCTACAACATCACTAATGTGAAAATATGTTTAATAAGAATATATACATATATATTCTTATCATATTGATGACGCAAATTACAACCCATCGATACCTGTCTTGTGTGATTCACAACCCATCCGTGACCATCTGAACAAGTTCATCAGAGGCATCCACTGACATTCCGAGGCCTTCCCCTTACTTTCTTCTGACATCACATATATGTATTCACACCATACATGCCAAAATAGTCATAGCACAACTTTCTGTGGTAGTGGGGGGAAAAAAACAACTGGAGGAACATGTCCTTATTCATTGAGAGATGGCTGAATAAATTGTGAGAGAGCAGAGAGAGAGAGAGAAGAGAGAGAGAGAGAGAGAGAGAGAGAGAGAGAGGAGAGGGAGAGAGCAGCGAGAAAGTGCACAAGTGAGCCTATATCAGATTGCCGCCATCTTGGGGAGGGAGGTGGGGAGGAAGGGGAAGAAAAATTTTAAACTCAAAAATTTATGGAAGTGATCGTGGATAATTCAAAATAAATAAATTTAAAAATTTTTTTAAATGTTTTGGGGTGGCTAGGTGGTGCAATGGATAGAGCACTGGTCCTGGAATCAGGAGGACCTGAGTTCAAATCCAGCTTCAAACACTTGACACTTACTAGTTGTATGACCCTGGGCAAGTCACTTAACCCCATTGCCTAGCCCCTCCCCCCCAATTAAGTAAATGTTTTAATCAATGTTTAAATGAAAAACAGTAACAACACTGAATTGAATGGAATGATTGGATCCTGGATCCTTACAACAACCCTAAGACCCAAGCCATCACACAGAATACTGAGGCTGAGAGGTATTGGACTTTACCTTGAAAACAAAGAAAAACAGCTGAGCCAAATAGACTTGTCCAACAGCATGTACAAGATTCTATACCCACAGGTGCCTTGCCTCATTTTTTAAAATAAGCATTTGCTTTCAATTAATAAGCATCATTTACCATAGTTTACAATATGATTTCTATTACATAATATATCACAATTTATTCAGCCATCTCTCAATGAATAAGGACATGTTCCTCCAGTTGGTTTTTTCCCCCCACTACCACAGAAAGTTGTGCTATGACTATTTTGGCATGTATGGTGTGAATACATATATGTGATGTCAGAAGAAAGTGAGGGGAAGGCCTCGGAATGTCAGTGGATGCCTCTGATGAACTTGTTCAGATGGTCACAGATGGGTTGTGAATCACACAAGACAGGCAGGTATCGATGGGTTGTGATTTGCGTCATCAAAGGCAACATCAAAATAAAAAAACTCACACACCAGATCAATCTGATTATCTGAGAGTATCTAGATACCTTCAATACCTATATATATATATATATATATATATATACACACACACACACCTGATGGCTTTGCGGGACACGCCCACTAACTGTATTGGTGGACTGAAGTGTTTGAATAGTTTAGCAACTTTTCACATAAAATTCCAAGTAGTTTTCTGGAATAGCTGCATCACTTCACAGTTCCATCATATTACTGTGCCTCTGTTCACAGTTTCTCCAACACTATTTGTCTTTTATCATTTTTACCAATTTTATGACTGAGGTAAAATATGAATTAAATTTGTATTTCTCTTATTAGTGACACCCCTGGTAATCTCATTCACTCCTAAAGCTTTGGTAGCACCTCTGACTCGCAAATCTCTATCCTTTACCTATTCCTGGAGCTCCAGATCTGTAGGAGGAAGCAGAGGGTGAAGCAAAAGGAACACATTCTTGGAGCCAGAGGACTTACATTCAAATCCTGCCATTGGTGGTTACTATCAGTTGTATCTTGGGCAGGTTACTATTTAGTACCACCCTAGTTTCTATTCTTATCTCAACCAATTCCCTTCCATGTACTTTATGTTCATGCCTAGCTGCAGGATACTCACTGCCCCCTTTACTTCCTTGCTTTCACACCCCTGGTGAAACTGCTCCCTCTATCTGGGATGCCCTCTTTATCTAACCAATTCCTTATCTAGCTTTTAAAACACATCCTAAATGGGATATCCTTATGGACACCTTTTCTGAACCCCATTGTCAATAATGACTTTTCCCCAATTAGGAAGCACATAGCAATTTTCCCCTCATACCTTTTATGCACTTACCACATGTTACTTTAGTGGTGAGGCCATTGGCTATAGTAAGAAAATAGGAATTGGAAAGAGAGTACCAACCAGCTCTCACTACCTATATAACAATAAGCAAGGCACTTAAACTCTCCAAGTCTGTTTCTTCAACTGCAAAACAGAAGTGGTGGCAATATTTACAATACCTACCTCACAGTTGTGAGCTAAGTACTTTGTAACTTTAAAGCAGCTCATTATATACAATGGATAAAGTAAGTTGGGCAGAGGAAGAACACTAGTAACTTTGGGGAATCGTCAAGAAATGGCTCATATAGGAAGTAGTACTTGGCGAAAGCTTTAAAAAAGGGAGTTAGGAGTTCCAAGAGGCAGGACCAAAGAGGGATAGTATGCAGGAAATGGAAACTGCTCTGCAAAGCACAAAGATGGGAAATATGACCACGTGTCCAAGAATCTATTTGTCTGGACCACAGTGTGTAAAAGGAGTAATGCGTATTAAGTCTAGAAAGGTTCCCTGAAGCCAGATTAAAGAGGCCTTTAATACTAAAGGAGGTTCTAACTTCATCCTAAAGACAACAGGTACCCACTGAAGCTTTTTGAGCAAGAGAGTGGCAGTCAGAACATTACATCGGCAGCCATGGGGAGGATGGATTGTAGAAGAGAGATCTGAGGTGGGGAGACTAGGAAGCTATTACAACAGTCTAGGTAAAAAAGGGATGAGCTCCTGAATTAGGGTGGTGACCATGTAAGAAGGGGAAAGATGTGAGAGATGTTTGGCAGAAGTGACAAAATTTGGCAAATGACTAGATGTGAGGGGAGTCAGGAAAAGTAAGGGGCTGAGAAAGCCTCTCAGGCTGTGGCCTAAGAATGGTGGTTATCTTAATAGAAACGGGTGTTAAGAGCAGGGGTGGAGCTTGGGGACATAGGAGGAGAAGACAACAAGTTCCATTTTGGACATGGGTTTGAGATTCCTATGGAACATTCAGTGGGAAGTGTTCCACGGGCAGCTGGTGAAGTGGAACTGGAGCTCAGGAGACAGACTAAATCTGGGATGCTTATGCAGAGATAATAAGTGAACCCACTGGAGAAGATATCATTGAAAGGGTGATAGTTACTCTTTCATGAGACATACAGAAGGTTGGAATCTGCAGCAGTGGAAACACAGCAATGAAATCATGTATCCTTGAATTAATTCAAATACCGTATTTGTATAAACTGACATTTATTATACTGAGGCACAGAGAGTGTAACTATGAGTACGACTTATGTTACTTTGGATTTTATTTTTTAAAAGGACAGTTGATCTTCCATATATTATGAGAGAAAAAAGACACACAAAAAAAGATTGATTCAAAGTTTAATCCACATAAACTATTATTGGTCAGTATCATCAATATCATCATGAAAATATCAAAATTTGTGAGTACTGGCATATGGCAGGAGGAATTTTATTTTTATTACAAATAATACAGTACTGGTGTTTCCACTACACATAAGCTATGCTGCAGAAAGAGCAATTGCATTAAATCTCAATTCTTCTGGGTCCCGTTCCATGAACTTCTTGCAAACTTCTATGGCATCCTATTAACAAAAGACATAAAGACACGGTATCTCAGTTTATGAACAAAAACATTTTCACTAACAAAGGCCGCTGTTAAGTAAACCCATAATTGTTATTCTAATTTATAGAAGTTATATACAGCAGACTATTATCTTAAAAATCAGATTCAAAACTGACTTATTTCTATACTTCCACAGTGGCACAAAGTCACCCCAGGAGTTAAAAAAAAAAAAGCCCAATCCCTATTGTTGCCCAACGTTATCACTCATTACCTGATGTTCTTCATTTGTTCTCTTAAGAACTGTAAGTCATTCCTTTGATGCAGATGGAAACTGTGTTCTTCAGGTCTTAAGTTACAAAAAATCCTTCAGATCGGGTTATGCTGGAGCCTACTAGTTCTCACTGTTTTTTCAGTGTGAGTATTTATACTTCAGAAATTGACAAATGTTGAAAATTATTTACTTGTTTTTGTTGATTGTCAAGACTTAGGAAAGTGATAGGGAAAATATTAATAATGTAGATAAAATTCAAAAGTGTGTTGTGCATACATTTTTTGGGAGGGCAAGTTGTTAAATATTTATCAGCACACCAATGGGTTAAAGTTACTAAAATAAGTAAAATGGGTTTTTTAAATGTAATTTTTAAATGTAACTTGTGAGTAGTAGTACATTTAAGGTACTGATATTTATAACAATGTCAACCGTTTATGTTCTGACTGTAAAAATTTACATATTTTCACTTGATGAGAGACAGGGTAGCACATGAATGCAATGTCAGCCCTGGAGTGTGGAGGATCTGGGTTCAAATCCTGCCTCAAGCACATATTAGCTATGTGACTATGAGCAAGTCTGGACATCAAAGAGCTCCCAACAACTAAGACTATAAATTACAGAGATGCTAATCTGTATTAGATAGAGGGAGTATTCATATTGGGAGTTCCTAACATAGATGAAATCACAGGACTGGCTCCTCTCCATTGCTCCTGAAACAAACAAAATCTCTGCAATGGCACCTCCTGAAAAGCAGTGTTTTTCTTCCTGTTAATTCTGGTGAAGTGGGTTTTCCCATAATTGGTATAGGTGATCCACAACATCTTTGGCTCAAAGTGGTCCATGGAAGGAAAAGAAGTGCTATTTTAGACATATTCTTATTCTAAAGCAATCATACTATCTTTTTTTAAAAAATGTTTTTCTAAATATTTTCCAGTATTGTAGTAACAGTTGAAAAACAGGACACAGATCCTGCTTTATTTATGGATTCATGTCTCCTAGATTCCAATCTTCTTGTGCTATTTTTCTGATCCCAAAGAGTTGAAGCCAAGAGACCTGGAAACTGTGACATTCTGTAGGGGGATGGGAGGGGCCCCCCTGAAATAAGTACAGCGAAAGAAGGCTATGCTGGATCAAGTAAGGTCTCTTTGTTCTAAAATATTTCCTATAATAAATTCTACCAATCAGAAACTCATGTGGAATAATAAATTCCCCTTTTAAAATGTGAGTGGCATATGGGAAGGTATACTTTAGTGTGAATTACTTTACTTTAATACAATAATCAGTACCAATCTATCCACATCCAAATAAGCAATATAAACATTTGAGGGAACAATGACTAAGGAAGAGGAAAAGGAGGAGAGGAGTGATGGAGCAGGAGAGAAGTGGGTAGAGGAGAGCACACCAAACAGCCAAAGGACCAAAGGTCATGAGGGTGCAGTGTGTCCAAAGGTTACATAAGAAGAAGCGTGCAATAGAAAGGCTTGGGGGAAAAAGGCAGCAATTCAAAAAAGGACAAACTTTGCTTACTTTCATAATTTTCCCTAGAACTTTAGTGGCAGCTAAGAAAAGTGCTACCATAAATTACCAACACCTAAAAGAAAACTATAAATGTTGCTATCTAAAAGGTCTAAAAATCACCAACGCTTAGCCTAAAAAAAAAAATTCAATCTAAAACCTGTAATGATGTGCCTGCCTTAATACTAAGTGTATCACATAAAATAATCAACTAAACTTTAGGAAGATATTTAGAAAATGCCAACCTAAAGGTCCCTCAAGGCTCTAGCTTAAATAGTAGATAGGACTGTCATTCATTTTTACATCTCACTCTGTATCTAGCATGGACACTTAATAAATGTTCATTCTGGTTTTCTAACGTAAAAAATAAATTGAAAAATGACTTCAGAACATTAGAATGGCTGGTGGCCTATTTAAAAACCATACTAAAGTGGATCTGTGTCCTCATCATGTAGGCACTTCCTTAAATGATGCAAACTGCACTTATTCAATACTCATCTTGTGAGCCTCATGTCTGTAGTGAATCCTCTATTAAGTAAATCCCCCCATTAAAACTTCCCCACATTACTCGGCTACCAGAGGATATACGTGAACTATCCATATGTTATTTGCTGCTTTTGACACACGACCAATCTACATTCCCTTTGAGTTATATATCTCTGATGAAATAATTTATATCACTCTTATACACAGTTCTTTCTTGGTAATATGTTGCAGTATGCTCACACCTACCATGTGTCTTCATGTTTAGCAGTTATTGCTTGATAGTTTATCATTTGCCAAACATAAAAATGTTTAAAAACACAATTGGACTTCTTGGTTACTCAAGTCTCCAAATTTACCATTAAAATAAAGCTTATAGATTACTTATTTCCCCTCGATCAAATTTTACATTTTTACCCCATCTGGGGACTTGAAAACCCTCCTTACTTCAAACACATTTTCTGTGCCAAGTGGCAATTTCTTTTGTTACCAGGGCTTCAAAAAATAGCAGGGTCCTAAAAGCATGACACAATAATAAGAAAGCTACAAAAACAGAGATGTCTTTCTCAATTGTATTTAAAATCAATTTTAAAATGTCTTCTTACCTCTAATAAAGTATCATCACTAGTTTTCCCATGGTTAATTGGAAATGGCTTGCGCCCATCTGGGAAAATAAAAGTATTTAATGCTCAGCTCTCTGCTCAAAGTGATCAACATTCAACTCCCATTTTCCTCAACTATAGACAATTCAACAGTTGTAGACAATGTATAATACTAAAGTTTATTCTGCATAGTTAAAATAATAAAACAAAGAGACATTTAAAATAATACATTTTATCTTTTATAATTATTAGTTCTTTCCTTCCACATTTAAGAGCTCACAATCAGTAAAAATATAATTTGTTAGAAAAATAATTAAACCATTTGGAAAAGATACACTTTGTAGCAAAATATATTTGTCTAGTGAAAGTTGTTATATTCACTGGTATTATGTTTATGCACATTGTTTTTACACAGGCCAAAAAATGTTTATATTAAAGAAACATATTACTTCCATACTTCAAAGAACCCAAGTTTCATCATGGCAGACACTCACTATCTCCCCTGATGCAGTCTTGTACACTTTTTTACAATCTGCTGTAGCCAAAAAATTCATCACCTGGTGGCTACACTTATGGTACTGAATTGATCTGAAGTTAGGCTGGTGTTCAAACAGGTAAGCAGACCACTGTCAAGTCCACACTTGAACTCTTCCAGCTAGAAAGTAACAACCAGAGCTTAGGCTTCACTGGTTTAAGCTCTAGGAACCTCAGGTTACCTCCAACCAGAATAAGACAAATGAGAAGAACTTAATGGCTTTTACTTTAAACCCATCCAAATAAAAATATTTATTATGTTAGGAAAATATCAGTATTGTCTCTAAGATACCAAGCAGAGAAAGCAAAATCCAAACCTACTAGCTCTTAACCAAAAGTGTATACAATGAATTTTCAATTATCTGGCCCAGTGAAACATAGCACTGACAGAGCTAACGAATAATGACTAACAGAATGAAAGAAAAAAACTACAGCTGGGAAGAAAACTCCTAGTAGCTATTAAGGGCTCAAGTTACACACAAATAGCTTAATATACAACATCATTCTTTTTTTCTTTTCTTTTGTTTCATTTTTTGGTGAGGCAATTGGGGTTAAGTGATTTGCCCAGGGTCACACAGTTAGTAGCAAGTATCTGGTCTGAGATTCGATTTGAATTCAAGTCCTCCTTACTCCAGGGCTGGTGCTCTATCCACTGCGCCACCTAGCTGCCCCTACATCATCATTCTTGAGAGGCTTTTTTGGTTTTGTTTTGTTTTTACCAGGCTTGCGATTTCATCTACATAGACAATTTCCAGCAAAGAAATTACTTCTACCAATGCAGATGGCAAACTCTTGGCAATTTTGTGTCACAGAGGAGCCCAGGGCACTGAAAGGGTTAGTGATTTGCCCATCACTTAACAGGATGTATGTCAGAGGTGTGACTTGGACTTCTGCAACCAGCTGTTTCCTCTATGCTGTGCTTCTCACAGGCATATGATAGGTATGTAAGGTGTTCATACATATGTTTGTATTTAAGCAGGTATGTATATAGCCAAGAGGAGGCTATGGTGCACTGGTGTCAGAAAAGACCTGCTTGGGTTCAAGTCTTGCTTTTGATACATACTGGCTATGTAATCCAAACAGCATCCTCAGGAAACTCAGACTAAATCTTGGACAGCAGGTGCTGACCTGCATTGATTGAAGCTTCCTTCCTTGGGAGTGCCCTAAACCAGTGAAATCACCAGTCCAGTATGTGTGTATGTACAGACATACATGTGTATGTGTATAGATATACATATATATTACACACAGTCTTAAAAGAGTATTAAGATGGTAAGTTCAGTATTAGGAAAGGATTTTACAGAACCTAATATTAACTACAAGAGACATGGATCTGTTGGGGGGGGGGCAGGGTGAGTGTTGTTTTAAAAGCTAAGATATGACAAAAAAAAATCTGAATTCCGTGAATTCTCCTCCAATCTATCAAAGCATTTTGTCTCTCTCCTATACACACAGTTATATTTATAACTTATATAAATATATTTATATTTATAAAATATAGAAATATATTTATATAAATTATAAAAATATATTTTTTAGTTATTCATGTTCCTGTTATGTCTACTACTGGTCTTTAAACTCAGAGGAAAGAGCACGCTCTTTCTCTGCTTTGTATTGCAGAAGAGTAGGTGCACAATTGATGTTCACTGTGTTAAAAAGCCAATGTTTCACTTTGGACTATAGTAATTACAATGTTAAGGCAAAATTTATATAAATTAACACACTAAATTCTGACTCAGATTGTCTTGAGCACACCTAAACCTAGCTTTACTGAATGCAGAGTTCTTTATTCATCAGTGACAAATTCAATTTCTCTATATAAAAATGAAAATACTCATAAATTCCACTTGATTTTAAATAGTTTTAAACATAACTGATATATAAAAGGAGATCTTTGAAATGTAACATATAAACATGTTTTAAAACTTCTGGTACCTACTTTTTAAAGAAAAGTATTGGGGCAGCTAGGTGGCACCATGGATAGAGCACTGGCCCTGGCTGGAGTCAGGAGGACCCGAGTTCATATCTGGTCTCACACACTTGATACTTACTAGCTATGTAACCCTGGACAAGTCACTTAACCCCAATTGCCTTACCATATACATATATATATTTCTGATGATTAATAGACATACAAACACAACAGAATGGCAATGCTCCAACTCCTATAACAATCTGTGTTGTGGGACCAAGTTTTGTAATTAACAGCTATCAAATACTTTCAGTTTCTCAATTTTGGTACAACACTGAGATTTCATTTTACCCATATATATACTTAAATGCGATTTCGTGTTTTAATGTCAGAAGCGTTCAAATTGCTTTCCATGGCACTCAATACTGTAAAACCACATGTTCTCTAACCCAGTTACTAAAAGTGAATTGTTAACATTTGCAAAATCCATAAGAGGGATCATTTTTCATAACTTAAATAGAAAGCACTTTATTGTTTATATTTTCTACTTTTAACTTGTTTTTTTTTTCTTGTCTTCTCCCTTGGGTGCTGGGCCTCCCCACTAAAAAAAGGCTCAAAATTACATTCTACATTTCTTTTTGCTGATTTTCATCCACTACCATTTATTTATTAAGAACTGTAAAACTAATTGCTTGATAATCTTAGTTTGCAATGCCAAAAGGATATGGGAAACTATTTGACAGTACTATCTCATTCCAATATTTTGATTCTGAAATTTTAGAGCCTTTGTGAGAAATGCTATCAGCAGAATCCTGGATCCAATAAAGTGGGTATGATTTATCACTTTTATTATAATAATTTTAGCACCATGTATAATATTTGTCTCTTGGACACATGCTACATTAGCATTTAGAAAGGTATTATCTCATTAAGTTCTCTCAACAAACCTGGGAGGTAGGTGCTATTATTATTATTCTCATTTTACCAAATGAGGAAACTGAGGCAAACAGTCCTTGTCCTTGAGGAACTTACACTCTAAGGCAACTTACCCCATTAGAATGTAAGTTCCTTTAGGACAGGGACTGTTTGCCTCAGTTTCCTCATTTGGTAAAATGAGAATAATAACAATAGCACCTACCTCCCAGGCTTGTTGAGAGAATTTAATGAGATAATATTTGTAAAGTGCTTAGTCCAGTGCCTGGCAATAGTTAAGTGCTATGTAAATGTTAGCTATTGTTATTATCATTATCCAAGTTTTTGATGAAAATAATGATTGGAAAAGGTCCAAATCCAAAGCTGTGTGGCACACCCCTAGAGACTTGGATCTCACTTTGCAGACCTCCCTTTCCAAGAAATCAAAGGGCTGAAATGTAGTAGAAGGCTTTTGGAAACACATCTCTGCAGGCAGAGAGAAGACTTCAGACACTAAGCTTGTGAGCTTCAGGGAAACATAATCAAGAATGAGAAAGTTCTTAATGATCTGGGTTTACCCAGGACACAAATTTAATTATTCGTGTTCTGTTTAAGTGCTGATGTTTATATTGATGCTATGTTGTTATAATTCTAAATGTTAAGTGTATGCCAGAGCTGATGTTGCAAGAGACTGCAAAATTCCAAATCCAGGAAAGGAATGTTGCAGGCTTTTGAAGATGAATCTCTATCTCACATCTCCAGCTTCCTACTAGACACTTGGAAATGAATGTCCCACAGACATCTCAAACTCAACCTATCCCAAACTGAATTCATTATCTTTCCCCTCAGGCCTTCCACTCTTCCTAACTCTCCCAGTCACCTGGGCTCAAAACCTAGGTGTTATCCTTGATTCCCCACTCTCCCCTCCCCCTCCCCCATATCCAATCTGTTGCAAAGTACTGTTGATTCTGTCTTTGTAACACCTTTCCTCTACTGTGCAGGCCACCACTTCAGACTTAGATTACTTCAACAGCCTGCCGATTAGTCTCCCTGACTTAAGTCTTTCTTCCCAAGTCTATCCTAAATCAAAGTGATCTTCTTAAAACTCAGGTCTGACCACATCCCCCTCCTTATTCAATAAACTCTAGGGGCTCCCAATCATCTCTCTCCCAGCTTCCTTCATGTCTCAGCCAAAATCTTACCTTCTACAGGAAGCTCCTCCTCCCAATCCTGCTTAATGCTAGAGTTCTCCCCCGATTATCTCCAATTTATCTTGTCTACATCTTGTTTGTACACAGATGTCTGCACGTTGTCTCCCTCATTAGACTGCCAATTCTTTGAGACTAGGGGACTGCTTTTTGCCTTCTTTCTATCCCAACTGCTTAGCACAGAGCCTAGCATATAATAGGCATTTAATAAATCCTTGTTGACTTGACTTGTTAGATATCTCCATGCAAAGAGAGGTCTTTACACCCTAGCTAAATGTACTTTTGGGAAACAATTCTTGTCTCAGGAAAAGACTGAGTCTACTGTGAGTTCTGAATGGAGCATGGCTGCAAAAAGCAAGCAGTGGGAAGTCAAAATAGAGATGTTTATTAAGAGAAAGTCACGCTCCTCTGGCCAGCTAAGAAGGGAAATAAAAAAGAGCAGCTCTGTCCATTTCAGAGATGAAATGATCAGTTAAGTCAAATCAAGAATTTATGAGATGCTCTTGTTTTTAAAAAAGAATGAAACTTTAGCAAAATATCGAGACAGTTGTAGATCAAAACCAATCTTGCCACTTGTATAATATTCTGAAGATGGAGATGGGCTAAGAGGGAAGAGCTGATTTGTCTGTGATACACCTGGCTATAAAAGTTTACCATTGACCTCTCCTTTCTGGATTCTATTCTGTTCTCCTTTTTGACAATCAAGATTCCTGTTTATTTCCTATCTTCTGGAATCTGTCCTAGTCTTCAGATTCTTCAAAGATTGCTGATAGTGGTTCCACAATCATATTTACAAATTCTTTCTATATCCTGCAATGCTATGATGGGCTAGAGACCAAAAATCAAAGAACTAGGTGCTCTGCCTATCTCTTTAACTTCCTGGATCTCTACCATGATTGTTTTACCTTTTCAATTGAAGATCATTTCTCTCCTTGATGAAAAAACAGAACAGAAGACAGTAATCTGCTTTCTGTAATGGTAGTAGTCAGTAATTCTTTCTGTTACTGTTAATCATGCTATACCATCTAAGCAATAAGTCTATTCCTTACTGCCTCTTTTGCTTAACTTAAACATCCTAAAAAGCCCCTTATTCAATTCAATTCCAACAAACATTTATTGCCAGGGGGATAAAGATAATTAAAAGACACAGACTCAAGTTTACAAACTAGTTGGAATAGCTATCATTCTTAGGATTTTCCATGAATCTGATTTTATTTAGCTTTCCTGACACTATTACTGTAGGTTCACATCACTCTTTTGTATTTGTCCTTTATTTTATGAACTTCCTTTGATATTCAAGAGAGATCTTGTGCTAATCAGAGAGGTCTCCATGTAACCAAGTTTGTTTCTTTAGGTGTTTTCTCTTTTTTTTTCCTCCAACAGCATACTTTAAAATTATACTGTTAGAATCTTTTTTTTCCCCTGGCCTTTGGAAATATGCTAGCTTAGGGTAAGGTTCGAACTATGCCCAGCACATAAACCTTGGCAATCATGAATTCTAAAATAACATAGCCTCTTCTCCCAAGATTCCTGTCACTTCTACTTCACCAATCAGTTCTTTTTTGTTGCTCAAAATCAAACTGATTTAAAGTAGTTTTCTATATCGCTTTAAAAAAAACTGCTCAGAGATGAAATGATCAGTTAAGTCAAATCAAGAATTTATGAGATGCTCTTGTTTTTAAAAAAGAATGAAACTCGTAGCAAAACATCGAGACAGTTGTAGATCAAAACCAATCTTGGTATAATATGTGTTAGGAAATCCCAATGTTCTGTACCTAGTAGGTGCTTCAATGTTCTGTATCATCTGCAGCTTCTAAGTATTATGCAATATAGCTTCATAAAAATATCACTTGTTTCTTTCTCTTTTTAGCTCACTCAAATGCACCTTTGCTTCTAGCCTCAGGTTCATGAATTTCCATATAGTTATATACTCCTCAGTGAGATACTCTTCTGCCTCTTAAGACCTCTTTTTAAGAAGGAGGCATCCATTTCCATTGTCAGGTGTGAGTCATGAGCCCCTTCTTTCCAAGTTTTGAAAGATACGTACAGAAAATAAAAATGTAGTATTTCAGTAAATACTATAAAAAAGAAAGTAAAAACAACCTCAGTAAGTAATTATCCTTCTGAGTTGAAGCAAGTCAACCTAACAAACATTAATTACTACGTTAAGCATTGAGGCTACAAAGAAAAAAAATGAAACGGACTCTGCTTTAAGAGGCCTTTTTTCTACTGGATCAAGATAAAATGTCTACATAGGCTAAGACTCTGTAAATGGCTGTATTTAAGCAGAATAGCCCTACTGCAACAGAACTGATTGGATGAGAATGTGAATTCAGATAAAAGAAAAGAATATGACTGTTACTAAGGATGGCTACTTTGACTTTATACCACAAACCTTATGGAGCACCTGCCAGAAAACTCAGGCTCCTGACAGTCTGGGAAAAAAATCATTTCCTGATAAAGGCCATACCATATGATGACACCATATATAAAAGCCTAAGAGTTACCTAATTGTAAACATTGTCATACATGAAATGGTCACTATAAATAAAAAATTCTATTTTAAAATTGTTTCCTTCAGTCATTCACCTTTCTGATACAGTCTTGGGATCATCACTGGTCAAGACTAAACCAGTATGTCCAGATAGAGATGGTAACTTACTAAATACTTAATCCAAGCTTCACAATGATTCATAGCAATTTCCGGTAATGGTGTTTTGTTTCCTGATCTGCTACAGTACAAAGGTGGTGCTGACATCCTTGAATTTAAGTTTCTTAGACTTAAAACAATTCTATTTTTTCCTGGTTAATAAAAAAAAATCTTAAAAGGAAAACTTAGCTGGCACAATAGCAACATTATGGGTCAATTAATGAACTAAAATAAACAATGAATAAATATCAACTTCAATAACAACACTTTCTCAGGAATGTAGAGATTTTAACTCCTTTTCCCCTTTCCCTTGCCAAGATAAATTAAAGTAGTTCTTACCTAATTCATAGAGATGTCCATCTACATGAACTAATGCAATAAAATGCAGATCTACTTTTTCATCTATACTTGGTGCCTGAAATAAGAGGAAAAATACATATTATGTACATTAGTAATCACATAATTCATCAAACTAAACATCAATATGAAAAAATACGTATTTAATGACATAAAACATGGCATTTAGCTGGTGCCAGAATTCATAGCCTGAATCTAGACATGGAAAGAGCGTCTTTCTACTTAATTTCATTGTGTCCATCCATCTTTGCAAAAGGTAACTGCAATAAAGGCATATTGCTCCATAATGTATCCCTTTTCTCATTTAGTCTTTTAAGGCCAAACTACTTCCTTGAACAAAAGTACCTCTTTGGTTTTCTCTAGGAAAGAGATCAGTGCTAGGAATTTAGATTTTTTTTTCAATCTGATTTTTTTATGAAATAAAGATAATGTAAAAGTAGTAGGGTGAAATTGTTTGCAAAGACTTTTCTAGGAAAAAATTCAGGTAACCCATAAAACAAAATTATGTTTTCCCTTAATCATACTTTAAGTGTTGCTTCTTGAACACCTTAACAGAAAACTACCAGAATCAAAGGGAGGAAAGGAATTCTCCAGGGAGAGTCACCCTAGATGCAAGAAGTATGAGAACAAACAGGTAGAGCAGAAAAGCCTAAATTTCTTGTAAAATGGAGATATCTGCACTGTTCAACCCATAAGGTTACTGTGAAGAAAGCACTCTGTAAACCTTAAAGCACTTTATTTGTATTATTACTGTTGTTATTGTTGCTATTGTGGACTTTTTAGGGGAGGACAAGAACAAATTCAATCCCAGTACACCAGTAACATGTTCACTTGGACTACAAGATAAATTTCTATACTAAATTAGTAATGGCAAATCTGAGAATAAAACTATAATTAATAATTCTACTGCCCTGTTTAAATCTACATCACTACTTTTCAATCTCCCTAAGAAATTAAGAGCTGTATTTAACATCAATTAATTATTATTAGGCTAGTAGTTTCTACTATAACTATCAACCTAGGCCTGATAATTATTATTAGACAAAATTATGTGATTTGCAATGGACTACAAATATTATTTTTGCTATTAAAGATATACTGAACACAAAAGTTAAAAGAAAAAACATTTAAAACGTGGACAAATAAAAATATATTTTACACAATTTAAGGCATCTTGTGGTAAAGTTTGGTATCTTGGGTCTAAAAAATGTATTAGCCATGACAAAGTCCACTTATGATTTTAAAAAGTTGTACTAAATGTCACTTTGGGGTAGAAGTATAAAACTACAGATATTATTATCACATCTTCGCAACACGCAAAAAATCATGCAATATCTTTCAGAGAACTCATAATATTTTGGGGTATTTTGCTTTTCTCACTGTCTTCATAAAGACATAAGAATATTTAATAAAAGAGAATACCATTTAAATATTTCTTGATGATAAGCATATCATCAAATTATTTAAGAATTTTAAAGGAAGAGGAAAGTGAATAAACATTTATCAAGTGCCTATTTTATGCCAGGCACTTTACAAATAAAACCTCATTTAAGAAACACTGCCAATTTCATACCTCAAAAACTACAGGTAGTTCTATATTATGAATAGCATACACAAAAAAGGGATGTCTAGATTGATTTTTTTTAAAAGCTTATGAAAAATAAAAATTAATCTTAGTTAACAGACCATTGGACTGCTAAGGTTTTTTCCAGCTCTAAATCTATTATCGTATGACTCTCCCTGTTGCCATCCCCACATTAAGAATGATAAAACTGAAGTACAAAAGGGGAAATTTCCCCCCAAGTAAGTCCGTGTATTAGCAAAAGTTTACTCCCAGGTTTCTTTACTCCCAGGCCAAGATTTTTTTGACTACTTGGAAACAGCATTTGAACTTATAAAATGAGCTCAAGTTTTTAAACCAGATCTTAGGATTCACACTGCTCTAATGATATAATCAGAATGGTCAAATGAGCAACTTTTTCACAAAAAGATATTACTGTGTTGACACTGAATCTGTAACATAATGCTTCTCACCAACAAACATGCAGAGCTGGCTACTAGCTGATGATGGGAGGGGAAAGGCTACCAAAATTTAAAACTCTTCTTGAGTCATTTAAGAAAATTACTCCCCCAACCCCAAGTTTACTTCTCATTCTTGAAGGTATGCATTTTCCAGGGTATTTTTGTGCTGTCATTTAAGGCATCAAAACTAAGAAACTGGGGAAAAAATGCCTCATATACAAAAAAATCTCTCAAACTTAGCTATGTCTTCAGTATTCCTATAAGGGCTAGCCTAAAATTTTCAAAAACAAAACCAGCCAAGACAAACAAAACATCTTCTAATATCTAATATATTCTAATGGTAATTAAGTTTAAACATGATGGAGATGTAAAAAAAGCAATGCCTGAATGCCTGTCATAATCCTCCTTAGATGGCCAACCTCAATTAGAACAATATTCTAATAATTTTGAAGAGGAAAAAAACACCCATAAGCATAAGCACTTACTAAGCACCTACTATCTGCCAAGTACTGTGCTAGGTGCTTTACAAATATTATCCCATTTTAAGTAACTGAGACATTTCACATATCAAAATAAAAGTAAAAAACAATAAGCAAAAGTTATATTGCTACTTCTAGAAAGCCTTCAGTTTCAAAAAGTGGTTATAACTATTTATAGCTCAAAGGCCAAAAACCGATTTTGCCAATTTTTCTTTTTTAAGCATTATATTCTTTATACAACCTCCCTGAGAATATACAATGAATTCCTACTTATTCTTTTTAAAAAAGTGACTTAAATAAATGTTAAGCAAAAGGAAAATAAGGAAAATATGTGATAAAAGATGCTCATGAAAATTTAAAATTCAAATTAATTTTATGAGAAATAAGATTTCAATGAGTGGAAGTAAAATGTAAAATAAATTCAATGTCATATAATGCAATGGTCCCAAATTTTAAACTTGCATTTTAGTTTAGGGATTGTTCAAGCACATTAAATGCTGAATTCGATTTACATTTAGCATTAAATCTACAATGTGCTGCCTATTCTTGTTTTTAAAAATAGGACTCTGTTTCAGTCCTTAGCAGCTATACCAACAATAGATCATTAAATAAAGATGGGCATTCATATGTTTATGGCAAATTCTACTGCATGGCTGCTTTGGTGACACATGCCAGAAAGTATCCAAACTCTACTCTATAGTCTCAGAGGAAAGAAATTTGGCATAACTTTTCATTCATTTTTTAAATCCTGGCTAAGTATATTAATACCTAAATCTCCCTGTGTTCATTTCTAGTAATCATCATTTATATGTTTACTTGTGATGTTTCCTACAAGTAACATAGCAACATAAATCAAAACTTGAGACAGAAATTTCAAAAGAGGGTTCAGCCATGCAGAAAGGCAATGGTGAAGGGCAATCACTGCTCTTGTTCAATTTTCCTATCTTATTTCAACAGGGTTACCAGAGTATATCACTTTCCCTAAGAATGCAGGAATAAACACAGTTTTTAAAAATTTTATGTATTAGTAGCTTAACAAAGAGGAAATGATTGAAATGTGGGAACATTTAACAAGAAGAAAATCTTCACCTCCAACCTGGATAAGATCTTTAGAAACTAAATAGGAAGGGAAGATCAGATAAAGATTAAACCAAGTACCTGAGGCACCTCAGGGAATAATACCTTAGATGAAAACACCCTACACCATGAAGGATTCAGACTGAGAACAGAATAAGTAAAGTGACCCCCAGGATGAGCATGGCAGAAGACTAACGTCATGTTCAATAACATGAAAAAATAAAAACAAAGTTACTGATGGCAAAGAACTTAGAAGCTGCAAAGCATTTGTCGATCAGTGTCAACTAAAAGAAACCAGAAAGATGAGGTGCAGAAGAATATAGATTGACTTTTGAGAGCTTACAGAAACCTGAATATTATGAATGTCGATCAATACTTTTCAAAAGATATTGGCAGGCCATGGAGTGGAAAGATGGATGCTCACCAAGATGACGGCACAAAAGTCAAGCTAGACAGCAAAGCATAAACAGATGTATGCTTGCAATCTTGTGTGGGGAAGGGGAAGCTAATGGTTAAGAAAACCAAGAGAAAAGCATCTTGAAGACTGAAAGAGCGTAAGTGGTAATGGACTGTCCTGGTCACGGGAAGAAGAGTTGGAAGATTGACTACACTTACAACAGAATGAAGCCCCACAGACGGCAGGCGTAAGAAGGGCCGCCAGCGACGAAGACGGAGAGATGGGCTGGTAGCCTTTGCTGGACCTACATGGTTACGTTTGACCCAGGGCAGGGATGCATGGTGACACAATGGTGAGGCCTTCGTTCTGCAGTGGCTAGAATGAGGCTGGGATGAGGATGGCGAGGACGACTACATAGATATTAAAAAAGAGAACATTTACTTAGACCACATTAATGGGTTAGCAATTTTTATCCCTAATAGGCAACATAATGTCACACTTCAATTCATAGGGTCTGGTACTTTTAATCAAACAGCCTAGTAAAAGATTCAGTTTGAATACTGATTTAAGGGAGAAAAAAATGGAAAATACCTGGTAGATAAGATGTAGCTACATAAGTGCCCCTGCTTCTCTATAAGATGTTTTATGAGAACATACACGAAGCATTTATGCAATCCTACTTTGCCTACTGCACAAAGACTTCTATGGAATGGGAAAACAAGCAATTCAAATAGAAATACTACATCAAACTGAAAAGCCCCATCAGTCCCAACAGTACACTTGTGATGGAGTGAGTGCAGAACAAAGGTGCAGGGTTCCAAAGCAGGTGAGAATTCTAAGAATGAGAATTCTAAAGGAAAAAGTCCAGATGAAACTTCTGAAATAGACCACATACGTACAAACTAACCTCTTGCACAATTGGCTGCTTAGGTTTTCATGGAGAAAAACCACCCCTTTCTTTGCATAGGACCTCTGATTTGGCCTACTTTTGTTAAACAAGTGGCCAAGAAAAGAATTTTAGTGTTAACATACAGTAAAGGAGACAGCCCTTGCTGAGTAAAGAAGCTTCACTTTCCTTCTAGGCAAGCTAGACATCTTTAGAGACCTATTACCACTTTCAGGATAGTACAGGACCATCAGGTGTTTAGAAGCAAGATCTAAGTTAACTCTGGACCTCAGTCTGCTCATCTGTAAAATGAGAGGCTTGGTTTTGATGGCCTCTAAGTTCCCTTCTTTTAGCTCTAAAATCCTATGGACTACTTTGGCAAACAGATATCATCAAGGGTCTACTATGTGCACTATCATGTGCCTGGTGCTAGGGATATCAAGACAAATACAAACTAGACCCTCTGGTCAAAGAGCCTACATGCTATTTAGTCAAAATACTTACTCATCAGATGGAGATTTAACTATTAACCTTTATGTATTAACAGAAACTTAAAATCTCACCTAATGGCAAAGTTTAATAATATTCATTTGAATTAATTATTAATGAAGCAATTTATATATCAATTTATTATTTATTAATAATTTTATAATTAAAAGCAATTTTATGTAAGTCAATAAGTTACATTTATAATAAATATGTAAATCTATAGTAAGTATGAAAGGATGCAGTATTGACATTGACAGTCCATTTATAACACTAATAACATGCTCCACCAACTACAATATAGTTAACTGATTCTCCTACACAAACAACACAACCATTACCAAAAAAACAATTGCATTGCTACTTGGCCACAAAGAAAAGTTGTAAGATTTTTCAGGCTCCATAATGAGAATCATTTGGATGAAAACAGGAGATATTGAGCCTGAAAAAAGAAAACTTAAAGGGAATATGATCCTGTCTTCAAATAGTTCAAGGGTTGACATGTAAATGAAGGATTCAAAGTTACAAGGAGGTGGATTTCACCTCTATATAAGGAAAACTTCCTAAAAGTTAGACCTTTCCAAAAAGTGAATGGACAAATTAGTTCTCCAATTAAATAGAGCTAATTAATCAGGGCCTGGAATGGTCAAGGATACTGGAGAGGGCATTCAATCTTGTTTCAGATAAGAGCTCGACTAGATTAAGAAATCCCAAACTCTAAGATTCTATGTACAAATATTTACTGAATGTGTACTACTCACAGAACATTATCCTTGTAATACAAGGGCACAATGAATTATAATATGCCATTTCCAACACAGATTCATAAAATGCTAGATTTGCAGCTAGAAAAGATTATAGAGATTATCTAGTCTAATCCCTAATTTTAAAGTTAAGGAAACTGAGGTCCAGAGAAGTGAAATGATGTATCCGAAGTAACACTCATGCTAAGTGGGACAGCAGAGATTTAAACTCAGGACCTGGCATATTTAAATACAGTACACATTCCGTTGTATCCTGTCATCATGCAAACTTTTAAAGGATGGCTTATTAACTCAGGAAAAGAAGGCAGCAGCCCTACTTTCACACTATTCAACATAAAAATAATATTTCTGACTGTTAAGGTTAAAACATGCCAAATTTGTTTTTCTATAGTGATGATACAACCATGCTCTTCTTAATCACTCATTCATGAAATGAGTACTGCCTGAAAAGAGATACCACTTATAGCAAAGGCAAAGAACACAAATGATCTTTATGGGAAACTAATTAGGGAACCTGATCTCACTGATACGCTCAAGCTAAATGACTTCAAATAGTCACCAAAGCCAGGGTTTAGATGTCTAATGAAGATTTCTTCAATTTATTCTCATTCTTATTTTTTCAGTAGTCCCATAATCTCATATCATCTTTATATCTAACTTATTTATAAAGAGTGGGACAGGATTTCTACATTGGTAAGGATGACAGAACTTTTCCATGTTGCACGTATTTCTGATGCAACCAAAAGCCCAGGGGATCTATGTCTAAGATTAGAGTTCATTAAGAAGTGAGAGAATGACAAAGTGAGGAAGGTGGAGAAATAGGGAAATGCTCAGTGATAACCTAGTTCTGGCCTTTATCACCACTCACCTATACACTGTATTGGTCTCCTTCCAATCTTTCCCCTATCTAATCCATTCTTTATATAGCTGTCAAAATAATCTTCCTAAAGCACTCCTCTGTTAATAATCTTAAGTGGCTCCCCTATTGTCTCTACAATAAAATATAAATTCTCCAGTCTGATGTTTAAGGTCCTTCACAATGTAGATTCCAACCCAATATTCACATTACTCCCCTTCACACAATCTATATTCTGGTTGAAATAGTCTATTACTCATTTTCCCAATCATGATCTCCTGCTTCCATGCATATATAACTCAGAATCAGAACAATTCACCCATAAAAAATTTCCAACATTGTAGCAGACTGTCTATAAAAATGTTTTTGGTCTCAGGAATTGGGCAGTAGTCACATTGTTACAAAATTAAATGAGACAAACTCTTGGAAAACAAGCAACCTACCTAGAACCACTAATTATAAATATTATGCCATTCTTATTATTTAGCACTTGTAGTACTAAAGGATTTTTATGCTTTGAGGTTATCTATATTTTCTCAGACAGTGACAAATCCACTTTTTAAAGTGAGGTTATTATAATTTTCAATGAAAACATAACTATACCGGCAACATCATGTAGCGGATAGAACTGAAGTTTTGGATTTATATGACATAGATTTAAAAATATGTGACAATAGGAAAAATAACAAATACTCATCCAAATAAGTTCCTTCCTCTATAAAAAGAGGGTAATAATAACTCTTGATTACTTAACACAAAGGTTTACTGTGAAAAAAGCACTTTGTAAATGGCACAGTGCTATATAAAATGAGCTATGACTGTTACAATGATATAAGGAAAAAGTCCTGCTGTGGTTTAATAAGCAGAAGGGGTTTAATAACAGAAGCAGTCAACATTATAAACGACACTGTCTTAAGTCAACGTTATAAACTACAATGTCTGACACTAGAGTGTAAATTCAATTCTACATAGGAATCCTTAGTGTAATAATTATTAAAAGAAGAGGAAGGCAATTTTCTTAAAATTTGGCATTGATTATATGGCATTTCTTCAAACATGCTTTTTAAGTAAATAATGATGCCCAGAAAAAAAGAAAGACCGTTGAATTTGGAGTCAGGGCGCCTGACTCAAATCCTACCTCTACAGCTTGATTTCTGTGTAATCTGAAACAGATCACTTCATCTCTCTGGTCTCTCTTCCTAGACTGGAAGTGCATTTTACATATTTCTACTTGAGCATCCTGGTTCAAACTTAGTGAACCTACAACAAACTTCAATGCCTCTAGCAACTATCCCCCTGTCCCAACTTATTTATGTTAATAGTACTAATACAGTTTATCTCAGTAACAGATTCAAAAGTTCAGCATAATTTGTGCTTGCTTTACTTCCTCATCTTTACCTCCCCCCCAATATCTAACCAATCACTGAGTATTGTCAGTTTTTCATCTCTCATTATTCTTATTATTTCTCCCAAATATTCCTACTGCCACTATTCAGGATTAGGCCTTTATCACACATTACTTAAGACTACCGGAACAGCCTCCTAATTGAGCTCTCTGCCTCTAATGTCTCCCTTACCCAGAATTAAGCAGTAGGCATAGGCCTTGGCATAGCACATAGAGAACATTGGACCCAAAGTCAGGAAGACTTAAGTTCAAATCATATTACAGGTATTTACTAGCAATATGATCCCAATCAAGTCACAACTTCTCTCATCCTCAATTTCCTTATATATGAAAAGAGGACTGAAATGACTTTATGGGGTAGTAACAAGGATCAAATGGAATAATATGCTGAAAATGCTTTGCAAACTTTAAAAGTCCTATATAAATCAGCAGATTAATTTTCCAAGGATAATTTTCTGGGGAATTTAACATGCTAAATTTTGCATATAATTTTTGAAAATACAAGCTGCATGGAGAGCTGCATTTTTATGTATAATCCTCTTTTTTCTGTTCATTGTATTTGGAAATGTTTATGTTTAGTGATTTTAAGTTTCAAATAACAAGAAAAAAAATTTTTCAATTACCTTTGTATTTCATCCTCTGGCAAATTCATTGCTTTGCACAGTTAGCACTTAATAACTCATAGTTCAGGAAATAAACTATTTTTTTCCTAGGTATTTTTAAAATTTTGTAATAAATTCTACTTTTAGTTAAGTTCTACTTAGAGTACTTAATCATTTATGGAACTTCTTGAGAGTTTTGCAATCTTTCATAAAAACACTAGAACTTTGCACTATAGCACAGTCTTCAGGTCCTGGTCACCAAACTGTTATGCCTACAAGGAGCTCAGAATACAGTGGTCCTTCATATTTTTTGTTTAACCTCTGGGCATTTTCTGAGGCTGTCCCTCATGACTGGAAAGCTCTCATTCCTCATCTTCACCTATGGCTTCCCTGGCTTCAAACTAAAATCCC